CAGCGGAGAGCGCGAGGTCCGCGTAGCCCAGCTCCGCCATGTGAGTGTCCCCGCCGTTTCCGGGAGCCGTGGTCCGGGTGGGGGCTGGAGCAGCGGGTCCGATGCCCTCCCTCCTCTTGCCCCCCAGTCCCCAGCCAGCGCCGTCCCGTAGGTCCCGGATCTATTGCCCTGGCTGCGGCCCTGTTCCCCATACCCGGGCCCCGGGCCGCTTGGTGTCTTTCCTCCCCTCCCCCTGGGCGCGGAGGACGCAGCTTCACCCCACAAAAGCCGTCGCCTGCGGCCCTACCGCGCCCGGAGCTGCCTCCTTCCAACCCACAGCAAGTCCCAGGCGGCCGGTGCCCCGGGCTCTGGAGTGGGCCAGGCCTGAGGGCGGGCCCTCGGCGCCAGCCTGGGCCCTGGCATGGTCGCTTCCCGGGAGCCCCGCTGCCTTCGCCACTGGAGAGGCTGAGCTAGGAATGGGGAGGAGGCGAAAAGGGGTCCAAGTCGGCCTCCAAGATGAGCTCATCTTCCCGGCCCCACCGACCGACCTAAGCCGCTTTGGGGCCTGGCCCGAGGTGTCCGAGCCTGGCCTGGGCTTTCCGCCCAAACCCGGTGCGGCTGAAGCCGGAGAGGATCGCCCCTGCGCGGTGGGAGAACAGACCCTGTCCCTGGGAATTGGAGGCTGGTGTGGGGTCTCTGCAAGCAGCCAGGCCTGAACACCCTGCAGAACTGGTTTGGGGAAGGGGCTGCTCACCAGGGATGAGTTTGGTCTCAGCACCCTCCTCTCCCGGTGAGGCCTGAGTGCAACTTCTGGGATTGACCCTTCCAGGCCAGTTCTACCGGTTGCTCCTAAAGGATGATCAGGCTGGCTGGTGAGCACATTCTAGGTGCAGTCTCATATAACAATAACGGTGCCCCAGGCACCATCAGTGGGGCCTGGCCCGGGGTCTGTAGTATTCAGCGCCCCCACAGCCTTCTTGGAGGGTTCTGGCAATCTGGCAGATGCAGAAACAGGCCCAGAGAGGTTAAGTAGCATTCTCAAGGTCACACAGCTGGTTTGGAGAAGTGGGAATTAAAATTCTTGCCTCTGCATGTACTATCCACCTCCGTGGCAAGGAGGGGGAGAAGGGGAGGAGGGAGGAGGATGAGAACCAGAGAGTGAAGTACAAAATACTCCAGCAAGACACTAGGAGGCTTGACTTAGCTCCCACTTCAACCCTCACTCTGAGTCCTGGATCCTGTTGGGGCAACAGCCAGAGAGCTGGGAGCCTGAACTTGAGTGGGGGAGGGAGGAACACGCAGGGTGCCAGGATGGTTCCTCCCGGGTGGAAACGCTGGCGGGTAGGGTGCCGCTGAGTCAGGGCAACCCCTCGCAGAGCCTGGGACTCCACGCCGCTGGCCCCAGGAAGCCGCTAGGCTTCCAGCATGAAGCCTGCCGGCTGGGGAATGTGACCAGCTGACTAGGGAGGGGGCCGGCAGGAAGTGAGGCCACCGGGCTGCCTCCGCCTGGTTCCGGGGTGGGGGGTCCCAGGCCGTGCTGCGCCCCTCTCCCTCCCTGCTCCAGCAGTTTGGCATGACGTCAGCAACCGGGTTTGGGGCATTGCCATGGAGACCGGGGCAGGCCCAGGAGGGACCCCATTCTCCCTTACAGCCCCCCTCGCCCCGGGTTATTTTTAGCTTCTGTTTACCTCAATCGGGGCTGTCGTGGCTGGGCAGTGGGGCGGGGCTGGACTGGGACTTCCAAAGAGGCGATTGGCCTGGTTTGATTGGCTTGGCAAACCGCTGAGCTGAGCCCTGCAGGTGGTGAGACCTCCTGTCTCACACAAGTGCACCAGTTTGGGTGTGTAGAGGGCATTGGGGGTCGCAGGATCTGGAGTCACGAAGGTGGCCAGAGCTCCACTGCAGGCCCTGTCACCTTTGGGACCTGGGTTCTTTCCCACGTCCAGAGCAGACTTCAGGGCTGGTGTGAGTCCAGAGAATCCACTGGCTCTTGTCAGCCAACCCCCAGCTCAAGGGATTCAGTTCTTTCCTTTCCCCGCAGCAGAGGGAGATCCTGCCAATCCACCCCATGAAATGGTCACTCAGATGGATATGCCGATAGTCACTTGGGAGGAGTCTGGACCAACAGTAATACATCCTGGTCCCTGTGGGACGACAGGGTTGGGTTGGTGGCAGCAAAGCCCGAGTCAGAGAAAGAAAATCGATGGGACATTCAGCATGCTCTGATCCAGCCCACCCACTCAGTTCCAGAATTCCAGGGGACCCCTACCTTGCCCCATCCCAGGGAGTAGAAACTTACTTGCTGATATGAGAAAGTGGGGAAGGGACAGGGAAACTTGTATGTGGGGTATGGGAGTTAGGGTAGGCCAGACTTGAAATCTACCCCTCCAATAGCTCAGGATCTGCTGTTCCTGTGTCTCGGCAGCTCAGTTCACTCAGCCCCTCCCCCCACCCCACCCCCCACTCAGCTCCCTGCCTCCTTCAGGCCCAGAGGGTACTGCAGTGAGCCAAACCGACAGGCCCCAATCTCCAGAGTTCACAGTCTGGTTGGAAGACAGACTCTAAAGGAGAAATGAAGACCTAGTTATGTGGCCTCAGGGATCAGAGGGAGAAGTTATGAGATACCTAAAAGGGGAACCAACCCCGGGCAGACTTCCTGGAGGAAGAAGTCATAGGGTAAGACTTGAAAAAGGAGAGGGAAATTGGTCAGGGCGAAAGTAATTGGAAGAGCGTATAGGAGCAATGGGGGATGCTGCTCAAATGCTGAAGAGCCTTGCAGGTATTGAGAGAGAATCTCAGTAGCTGGAACAGAAAGACTGTGGGGGGAGCAGGGGACTGTGAGGGGAGGAGTGATTGAAGGTATCTGAGGAAAGTGTCAGTCTTGTGGGTCATATTAGAGAGTTTGACTTTATCTTTGGAGCAGGAAGTTACCCATGGATATTTCACAAGAGTCAGAATAGAGGGACATTAAAGATTTAGAGTCCTGCGGTCTGGCCTCCTGAGTTTGAATCCTGGCCCTGCCATTTACCAGCTGTGTAATCTTGGGCAGGTTAATAATTGTTAATAACAACAATATTTGTGTGTTTTCAGTGTGGCAGTGTGTCCACCCCAATTTCCCTACCTCACATGCAATTCTGCCTTCCCCAAGCACCCCTTATGGAGGAAAGTATATCATTTCATTCCCCCAATAGCCCTGTGACAGAGCTGTTGTTATTATTATTGTTACCCTCGTTTAACAGAGGGGTATCCGAAGACCAAAGAGGTGAAGGAATGTCTTGCCCATAGCCAGTTAGCCTCAGGTTTCTCATCTATGAAATGGGACTAATAAGACATACCCCATAAGGTTGGTGCTAGAGCCCTAGCCGGTTTGGCTCAGTGAATAGAGCGTCGGCCTGCGGACTGAAGGGTCCCGGGTTCAATTCCGGTCAAGGGCATGTACCTTGGTTGCAGGCACATCCCCAGTAGGGGGTGTGCAGGAGGCAGCTGATTGATGTTTCTCTCTCATCGATGTTTCTAACTCTCTATCCCTCTCCCTTCCTCTCTGCAAAAAATCAATAAAATAAAAAAAAAAAGGTTGGTGCTAGAATTAAATGAAATTATGTTTGTCAATTACGGTGTAGTGCAGTGATGGCGAACCTATGACATGTGTGTCAGAGGTGACATGCGAACTCATTTTTTTGGTTGATTTTTCTTTGTTAAATGGCATTTAAATATATAAAATAAATATCAAAAATATAAATCTTTGTTTTACTATGGTTGCAAATATCAAAAAATTTCTATATGTGACACAGCACCAGAGTTAAGTTAGGGTTTTTCAAAATGCTGACACGCCGAGCTCAAAAGGTTCGCCATCACTGGTGTAGTGCCTGGCCTATAGAAAGCACTAGGTAAAGCACTGTTTTTGGCATTGTCAGGTGACTGGAATTTTAAGGAGAGCACTATTGTTATTGAATAAAGAATAGATCAACTTGGCCCATGTGACTAAGTGGTTAGAGCGCTGGCCTGTGCACCCAAGGGTCACAGGTTTGATTCCCTGTCAAGGGCGTGTACATTGGTTGTAGGTTCACTCCCTGCCCCTGGTTGGGGCACTTGCGGTAGGCAACCAGTTGATGTGAGAGAGACACATCAATGTTTCTCTCCCTCCCTCTTATCTGCTCTCTCTGAAAAGGAATGGATCATTACGGGTAAGAGTGGAGACGGGGAGTTCATTAAGATGCTGCAGTAGGGTTCTAGGTGAGAGTTGGTGTAGCTTGGACCTGAATTCTACCTGTTGGGGTAGAGGAGAGGGGGCAGGATCCAGAGATGGCAGAAGGTGGTGGCTTGGTGGATGTGGAGGGTAACAGAAACTGAGGCATCCAGAATGACTCCTAGTTTCTGTCTCATGGAACTGGATCAATAGACAGTGGAGGGAAGTGGTGAATTCAGTTTGGGAACTACCAAGTCAGCACATCCCTATAAGCCCACTCCGCACTGTCATTCAGCTTCGGGGAGACAACAGGCAGGCAGTTGGAAACACAGGCCTGAGGCTCAGAAGAGCAGTTTGGACAAAGAAGAGATAAGGAAGCTGGCAACATTTAGATGGCATTGAACTGTGGGAGGTGTACACAGCCCAAGGGTGGGAAGAATGGGCCCCAGTTGGGGATGGGGAGAAAGACAGATCCTCTGTGGGAAAATAAGATGTGCAGCCAGAGAGCGGTGGTAGACCAGGGGCATGTTGCCTCTTGAAATTCAAGGGAAGGAAGGGCTTATGGAAGAGGAGGAGAGCCACAGAGTGAAAAGCTTTGCGGAGATCAAGCAGAATAAGGACTAAACATTGGACACTGGATTCAGCAGCAGGGAGGCACTGGTGACCTCGCCCAGACCAGTCAGGGAGTGGTGGGTACAGAAGGCGGTCCAGGACGAGAAGAGGAGGGGGTGGTGTGGAGAGGGAATGGAAGCATACATCTCTTCCGAAAACTTGGCTCTGAAAGGGGGTGAGGGGTGTGGTTGCTAGAAAAAAAATCATGGGTCCACAGAGGGTCTCATTTCTTTGGGTAGTTATTTATTTAAAGACAGCTTGATTTGAAATATAATATGCATACAGAACGGGCACATTCAGTGGTACAGCTTGATACATTTTCACAAGGGAACACAACTACATAGGATTAGGAAATAGAACCCAGATTAGGAAATTGAACATCAGCACCTCCCTGGAAGCCCTCAAGGGTAACTACTATTCTCAAGGGTAACTACTATTCTGATTTCTATAACCATAGATGAGTTTGGCCCATTTCTGAACTTCGCATCAGAGGAATCATACCTATATCCTCTCTCGTGGTCTTGCTTCTTTCACTCAGCATCACATCATGTCTGTAAGATTCATCCATATTGTTGCATGTAGTTTATTCTTTTTGTTGTAGAGCATTCCGTTATCAACTGATGGCCATTTGGGTAGTTGCCAGGGTTGTTTTCATTTTTTATGTGGGAGTGACTTGCATTTGTTTGAGGCCTGTGGAGAACCATCTGAAACACTCCTATGAGAAGGGAGAGAGTTGACTAGGATTTCTCCAGCGGGAAATGAGAGCCCGGCCGAGGTTGAGAATTGCTCTGTAGTTCCAGCTCGGCTGCTGGGCCAAGGCCTCTGGCAGCTCCTGCCAGCCTGTGTGCAGGTGCAGAGAAGTCAGGGAGTCAGGTTGTCCAGGGTTGGCTTCTGCCAGGTAGGAAGAAGCACAGAGTGCTGGGGATATTAGCAGCAGGCGAGTGACGAGTCATGGCTGTGGATTCAGGCTGGGAGAAGGGTGTGCAGGGAAGGTAGGGAAGAGAAGGTAGGAGGGAGCTGGCAGAGGGAAAGAAAGCAGAGGCGGATTGTGAGCTCTGTGCAGGGTGGTGTCTGTGCAATTCCGGCTGTATCTCCAGTTACTGGCACATGCTGGAGTCATGTGGGCCTTCTTCCCTGGGTCGGGGGCAGTGCCCAGGGTTGTCATTCAGTGAATAGTTGAATAAATCAGCTGAGAGCCCCAGAGGTCTCAGGTAGAAGCAGGTGAGGTGGGGGTGACGGAGAGTCTGAAGGTTGTAGTCAGTGTGGTTGTGATTTAGGAAAGGGGCCTTCCGGAGCCAGGTGATAAGGCTGGGGTGTTCCCGTGGCTGGGGAGCGGGGAGCTGAAGGATGCAGAGGCCAATGTTGGACAGGCAGTTCACTGAGTGCATATTTGCCGATGTAGGGTGCATAGCACCCATTTTTCAAGAAGGGAATAGGCAATAGCATTTCTCAAACTGGGGTCCTTGGACATCTGGCATCTGAATCTATAGAGGGCTGGTGGGCTTTTTGGAAATGTAGATGCCTGAGTCCACCCTAGCTTCTTGGGGAGAAAGGAAGCCCAGTGCAACAGAACTAAGCATCAAGGAGCAAGAATGTTTGAGATGGAAGAGCACCTGCCCCTCTGAGGACATGGGATGCCCAGTGGACCCTAGGCATGGTGGCCTCTATCCTGGTTGGAGGTGGACAAGGGGTTTTCTTTTTTTTTTTTAATTATTTTTTAAAATTGATTTTATAGAGAAAGTGAGAGGGAAAGAGAGAGATAGAAGTATCAATGATGAGAGAGAATCATTGATTGGCTGCCTGCAACCTGGGCATATGCCCTGACCAGGAACTGAACTGTGACCTCCTGGTTCATAGGTCAGTGCTCAACCACTGAGCTACCACCTCTAGGCAACAAGGGGTTTTCAAAGAAGAGTTACTGGACCAGGAAAGGGCTGGGGATTTGGCCCATGGGAGCTGGAGGCCAGAAGGACCGGGCTCCGCCCTAGGAAGCAGCTTCTGTTAGACAGGAGGCCCTGGCTGGACAGTGGGTTCTCTTGCCTGGGACCTGGGGTGGTGGGGAGGGAGAGTGCCCAGACTGAGCACCCCCTCTGTGGGTGATGGGCAGGGGTTGGGGTGCATGGGGCTGTACCCAGTTCTTTCTCTGCTTCCTTCTCAGGGCAGCAACACAGAATATCCCACACTTTTAGCTCCTTTGCCTTCTCAGCCTCTCTGACCCCTCATGGTCAGCGCCTAACTGTATGCCCTCCATCGGCACAGCCCCTCCACGCAGCTGCCACTCTCTAGCCTTCACACTCAGAACCCCAACTCTCAGCCCTCTGTGTGTTCAGCCCTTTTTCAACACGCCTCAACAGCCACGCTGTGAGCCCGCTATGCCAAACTGCGCTCAATGCAGCGCACTCAGTGTCCTCATTCTATTTATCCTTCCATATTCACGGCTTAACTCCCTTTACCCACACTGCTGATCCCACCCGTGAAGATCCCCGCCAGTCCCCTCTCGGAGGGGAACCTCCAGTCACCCCTCCCAGAGGCGGGGCAGGCCGAGGCCCGGGTGCCCCCCTGGTCCGCCCGTCCCGCCCCATCCCGGCGGGCTGAGTCAGGCGGCAGGAACTGGGCGGGGGGCGGCGCCGAGAAGAGCTGAAGCCCGAGCCAGTCACTGGGAGCGAGCGCGCAGCCCAGCCTGGCGGGCGACGAGTGGCCCTGGTCCGGCGGGGACGCGGGGCGTGGGAACAAGCGCGGGGCGTGGGGGGCTGTCCCGGACCCACCATGAACACCAAGAAGAAAGGTAGGACCCGGCCTGGGGTTGCGAAGGCTCAGGAGCTAGCTCCACGGGGTGTGGGCCGGATTCTGGGGGCTAGGGGTGCGTGTTTCTCCGGAGAGGGGTGGGGGTCCATGGCAGATCTCTTCCTGCTAAGGGCGCGGTCGAAAGCGTCTGTGACTCAGTTTCCAGGTCGGAGTCGCTGGAAAGTGAAGGGGGCGGGGCACTTCTCGGCACTGCCCCCCACTCTGGGAATCCCCCGGCTTTGGGCGCCGGGAGGGCCCTGGCGTCTGGGCGCCTGGGAACCGATGGGGGCTGGAAGGGAGCAGCTTACCCGGAGCGGGCGGGTCGCAGGAGCCAAACCCGCGCCGGCCGGGCCTGTCGGGCAGCTCCGCTGGGCTCAAAGCGTGCACCCCGCCCCGCCAGGTGACCTCCAGCGGCCTTACTGGGTGCGGGCGCGGAGCTCCTGGTCCACTTTGGGGGGAGACCAGGGGCAGGGCTGCGGAGTCTGCCCCGCCCCCGGGTAAACAGGCGCTTCCGCACATTCTTCGCGCGCCCCGCCCCTTTCCTGCCCCTTCCCAGCCGGGGGAGGGTCCCCGCGCGACCCCCCTTCCTGCCCCCTGCGGCGGGCGGAGCCTGCACCTCTGCAGGAAGTGGGGGCCGAGCCGAGGCCACGCAGAGTCCAAGGCCGAGACGCCCGAGGCAGCCCTGTCATTAGCGCAGTGGCCGGCGGGGTTGCTGGACTCCCGTCGTCAGGCCGTGTCCGGCAACAATAGGATACGAAGGACGGGCCGCGGGGTGGGGGTTCAAGGGCCCGATTGGCGCTGGACACCCGCCCTCGCCACCCCCAGGGAGCCCCGCGCGGACTCATTCCATGATGTCCCTGTCGGTGCGGCCGCAGCGCCGCCTGCTCAGCGCCCGGGTCAATAGGAGCCAGTCCTTCGCAGGCGTCCTCGGCAGCCACGAGCGGGGCCCCAGGTACGCAGCAGAGGGGGGCTGATGGGGTCAAGAGGGTCGGACTGGGTTGGAGCTGAGTGTGCAGTGAGGGTTTGGGGGATTCCTTCCTGGCCCTTTCTGAGTGCAGCCTCTTCTTCAGGAGCTTCCCGGCCTTCAGTCCCCCAGGGCCCCCGCGGAAGGCCCCTGCGCTCTCTCGAGTGTCCAGGATGTTTGCAGTGGCGCACCCAGCCCCCAAGGTCCCGCAGCCAGAGCGGCTGGACCTGGTGTACGCTGCGCTCAAGCGGGGCCTGACGTAAGCTACTCCCTCCCTAGCCCCCGTCCTCTTTCTGCTAGTGGGAACCTTCCCCAGCCTCACGCCCTCTCCCCACTGCCCGCACCCTGGGCAGCTGGAGGCTGTAGAGGTAAGCTAATTTTTGTTGTCACCCCTTTCCCCAGGGCCTATTTGGAAGTACACCAGCAGGAGCAGGAGAAACTCCAAGTGCAGATAAAGGAATCCAAGAGGAATTCCCGCCTGGTGAGTGAAGGGTTGGTGAGGATGCCCTGGACTACTGATGCTTTTTGCCCTTGTAGTGGTGGTGGGGGAGGGGGGGGACGGGGGACTGGGCAGGGCCAGCCCTGGGTGACATCAAGGCTGTTTTCTGGTTTGACTTGGTCTAGGTGTGACTAGAAAAGGGGATATTAAGAAAGGTTGGGGGCCGAAACCGGTTTGGTTCAGTGGATAGAGCATCAGCCTGCAGACTGAAGGGTCCCAGGTTTGATTCCGGTTAAGGGCATGTAACTGGGTTGCTGGCACATCCCCAATGGGGGATGTGGCGGCTGATCGATGTTTCTCTCTCATCGATGTTTCTGACTCTATCTCTCTCCCTTTCTCCCTTCCCCTCTAAGAAAGGTTGGGGAAGTTTCTATCCCCACATTCCCCAGACTGTGCACTTTCTGCCTGGGACCCAGTGCCTGCCCATGTGAGCTTCCAGTGGGGTGGGTGGACCCCCACAGACATGAATAACAGGAGATTATATTGTAGTGGTATTGAGGGAGAGCCATGGTTCTTCCTAGGGAACAGCTCAGGGCTTCCCAAAGGAGGAGACACTTCTGCTGGGTTTTGAAGGATGAATAGGAGTTCCCTGGTAGAGGGAACCACGCATGAGGCACAGAGCTCCCTTCCTAGGGGTTGCAGGGAAGGGAGTGGGCTAAGGGAGGGACCCCAGGGAAGAAATGGGGGGAAGGGTGCTGGAGGGGTCTTGGGGACCATATCTTTGTCACCAGTACCCAGCAAAGTTCAGGCATGTGGAAAGGTTGGTCAATTCCTGCTTTGACTGGAGTGGCTGTGGATTATGGTGTGAGGGGGAGGAAGGCTGTAAAGGAGAGGAGCTAGCCTGCCAGCCCTAGCCAGTTTGGCTCAGTGAATAGAGCATTGGCCTGTTCCCTGAAGGGTCCCAGGTTCGATTCCAGTCAAGGGCACATGCCTGGGTTGCAGGCTCGATCCCCAGTAGGGGCTGTGCAAGAGATAGCCATTCAGTGATTCTCTCTCATCATTGATGTTTCTATCTCTCTCTCCCTCCCTCTTCTTCTCTTAAAAAAAAAAAAAAAAAAAAGGAGAGGAGCTAGATGGGTTTGAATAGCAGGTGCCCTGCTGGAACACATACTATACCTTCTAAGTGCTCCCTCTCATCTTTCCCTGCAGGGCTTCCTGTATGACTTAGACAAGGTGAGTATATAGAGAATGGTGTTGGAAGAAGTTGGCTCATGGGGGAGGATAAAGGGCCCTGGGCTTCAGGCTCCTCCTGACACACCTCTCCCCCAGCAAGTCAAGTCCATTGAACGCTTCATGCGACGGCTGGAGTTCCATGCCAGCAAGGTACATATGCAGCATGCATGAATACATGTGCGGGTTTTGGGGTTGGGTGTTTTAGGGAAATGGGGGTACTAGGCCCTGGGTGAGCAACGCCAGTAGTGAGTCTCAATCCCCCCACTGCCACTCCACTCACCTGCCCAGATCGACGAGCTATATGAGGCATACTGTGTCCAGCGGCGTCTCCGGGATGGTGCCTACAACATGGTCCGTGCCTACACCACCGGGTCCCCAGGGAGCCGTGAGGCCCGGGACAGCTTGGCCGAGGCCACGCGTGGGCATCGAGAGTACACAGAGGTGAGGGATGGGTGCCCAGAAGGCAGAGGCTCAGGGTATGGCAGAGCTGGTGAGAGGGGACTTATTGTTGACCCTCTCCTGTCCTTGCCTGTCCCTCCCAGAGCATGTGTCTGCTGGAGAGTGAGCTGGAGGCACAGCTGGGAGAGTTCCATCTCCGGATGAAAGGTACTGAGTGGTGGGGGCAGACCGGTAGCAGGGAGAGGGAAGTGTGTGCCTGAGACCCCTCCCTCAACATGGCTCTTCTTTTCCTCCACTCCCAGGACTGGCTGGCTTCGCCAGGCTGTGTGTGGGTGATCAGTATGAGGTATGAGGATGTGCAGGGAAGGGCTGGGATGGCAGGGTCACAACACCAAGGGCTGCCTCATCCTGCTTGTTCCCTTAGATCTGCATGAAATACGGGCGTCAGCGCTGGAAACTACGGGGCCGCATTGAGGGTAGTGGAAAGCAGGTGTGGGACAGTGAGGAAACCGTCTTTCTTCCTCTGCTCACGGAATTCCTGTCCATCAAGGTTAATGTCTCTGCCCAGGACCACAGGACACATGATCCTGTAACTCCAGGACCCTGTGAACCCCTTTTGACCCTTACAACCCTGTGACCCACCCCTCCTGGCTCCATGGCCCTGTGAATATGTGATGCCATGATCTTCTGACCCTGTGCCTACTTGACCCCTAAGTCCCCATGAGGCTGTGATCCTCATGACCTCAATGACTACAAGGTTAGACCTCTCTGATCCCCATGCTCACAATGTGTTTCAGGCTTCCATGGCTCCATTACCCAGAGAACTCCCATCCCTGTAACCTCCTCATGACTCCATGACCCCGTGACCATTGCAAAACCTCTATGCAAATTCAGACTTTTGATGTCCCATGATCTCATGACCTCTACACTCTTGTGACCCTATGATGCATTCTTGGCTATAGGTGACAGAGCTGAAGGGCCTGGCCAACCACGTGGTTGTAGGCAGCGTCTCCTGCGAGACCAAGGACTTGTTTGCCGCCCTGCCCCAGGTTGTGGCTGTGGACATCAATGACCTCGGCACCATCAAACTCAGCCTGGAAGTCACATGGAGGTTGGTGGGGTTGAGGAGCTTGGGGACAGGGACAGGAGCCAATGGCATCTGCTAACAGCCTCTTTCCTCCCCAGCCCCTTCGACAAAGATGACCAGCCCTCAGCTGCTTCTACTGTCAACAAGGCCTCCACAGTCACCAAGCGCTTCTCCACCTATAGCCAGAGCCCACCAGACACTCCCTCGCTTCGGGAACAGGCCTTCTATGTGAGTCACAACCCAGGCTCAGGACCCACCATCCCCCAGGGGTCTGAAAATGGTCCTGAAATGCCCTTTCCTCTCTCCCAGAATATGCTGAGGCGGCAGGAGGAGCTGGAGAATGGGACAGCATGGTCCCTGTCATCCGAATCTTCGGACGATTCATCCAGTCCGCAGCTCTCGGGCACTGCCCGCCACTCCTCAGCCCCAAAGCCCCTGGTGCAGCAGCCTGAGCCTCTGCCCATCCAAGTTGCCTTCCGTAGGCCTCAGACCCCCACCTCCGGGCCCACGGATGAGGAGGGAGCCATGGCCCCAGTCCTGGCCAATGGGCATGCCCCCTACAGCCGGACTCTCAGCCACATCAGTGAGGCCAGTGTGGATGCTGCCTTGGCTGAAGCTTCAGTAGAGGCTGAGGGCCTAGAAAGCCAGGGACCTAACCCACCTGCACACCCAGATCCCACCCATAGGGAGCATCCTGGTCCCAACCCTCTTGCCCTGGACCCTGGACATTCTGCCACAAGCCCCACTCTCAGTGCAATAGGCCCTGCTCACACATCTACAGACCCTGTCCCATCTGTATATCTAAACTCTCTCCACAAGACTCCAGACTCTAGCTCTCCTGAACTTCCAGGTCCCGCCCACACCACTTCAAGCTCTACCTGTAGTGCCATAAGCCCTACCAGCAGTGCTCCAAGCGTCACTCACCCTGCCACAGGCTCTACCCACAAGCCCAAGTCCTCTACCCTCACTGCTACAGGCCCTACCCCCATTGCCATGGGCTCAGGCCAGACCACAAGTCCCACCCACAAGTCAGTGCTTTCTACCCTCACTATTGCAGGTCCTAGCCCCAACACTACAGGCCCAGTCCAGACCACAAGCCCCAGCCACACTGTCACAAACCTGACAAATATTGTCACAAGCCCCACCATCAAGCCCATACTCTCTACCCCTACTATAACAGGCCCTAGCCCCAACACTACAAGCTCAGTCCAGACCACAAGCCCTAGCCACACTGTCACAAACCTGACAAATATTGTCACAAGCCCCACCGTCAAGCCCATACTCTCTACCCCCACTACTCCAGGCCCTACACCAAGTGCCCAGAGCCCAGCCCAGCCTACCACAAGCCCACCACACCACAAGCCCCCACCACAAGCCCCACCCACACCACCACAAGCCCCACCCACACCACCACAAGCCCCACCCATACCACCACAAGCTCCACCCACACTACCGCAAGCCCTACTCACAAAGCCAGTATGTCAACTCACACTACTGTAAGTCCAACCACCGATGCTAAGGACCCAGTCCAGACCACCAGGAGTCCCACCCAACCTGTCACAAGCCCCACCCTTATAACTGTAAACCCTTCCACTTCTCTAGACCTTGCCACGCTCCCCAGCCCCTCTGCACACACAGACCCCAACCCACTGTCCCATAGCCATCCAGCTTCCACTCCCTGCACTCAGGCAGATCCCATAGCCCCA